GTGCAAATTGTAGCCTCAGTTTCCTGTTCTTAGCTGAAAGGAGTGGCACCCGGTGTGGTCTTCTGCTGCTGTAGCCCATCTGCCTCAAAGTTCCACGTACTGTGCCTTCAGAGATGCTCTTCTGCCCACCTTGGTTGTAACGGGTGGTTATTTGAGTCACTGTTGCCCTTCTATCAGCTCCAACCAGTCTGGCCATTCTCCTATGACCTCTGGCATCAACAAGGCATTTCCGCCCACAGAACTGCCGCTCACTGGATGTTTTTTCTTTTTCAGACCATTCTCTGTAAACCCTAGAGATGGTTGTGCGTGAAAATCCCAGTAGATCAGCAGTTTCTGAAATACTCAGACCAGCCCTTCTGGCACCAACAATCAAGCCACGTTCAAAGTCACTCAAATCACCTTTCTTCCCCATACTGATGCTCGGTTTGAACTGCAGGAGATTGTCTTGACCATGTCTACATGCCTAAATGCACTGAGCTGCCGCCATGTGATTGGCTGCTTAGAAATTGAGTGTTAACGAGCAGTTGGACAGGTGTACCTAATAAAGTGACAGGTGAGTGTATGTTAAAAAGAGAATCAGTGTGTAAAGTTCTATTCTGCAGTGTTATAAAAATAAAATAGAGAAAAACAGAAGCTGTGTGTGGAGAAGTTCTATTATTTACACGGGAAAAACAATCTAGAAATAAGTTAAAATTTCCTAAATTAAGTGTATTTACCCTTAATTTGAGTAGGTAAATCAGATAGAATGCCAGTGGAATGAGTATTTATACTCTTAAAATAAGATAATTGGATTAAATGCACTTGAAATAAGACAATGCAATTGTGTTTTCTTATTTTAAGTGGAAGTTGTCTTGTTCCATTGGCAAAATCTCTCTTTTACCTCCTCAATCCAAGACAAAAGGCACTTATTTCAAGAAAAAATGACTCATTTAGATTTCAATTTTTTCCAGTGTACGGTCTTGACTAAAATGACTAAAATTTGACTAAGTCTTAGTCTAAATGACGAAATTAACACTGCCGCGCACCCATTGGCTACAGCCTGCCTTGGAGGAAATGAAGGTGACTTGCACAGCATGAGGCAGGTGGTGCTAAGCTCCTAATGTTGGGGCTTTAATGCCAACAGTTCCATGTGCTATTTTAAAGGAAATGAAAGTAGGCCTTTAATTTGAGGAGCAGGGACAGATAACTGGATGAGAACAACAGTGATGGACTGAGAACATACTGGTACGCTAATGAAAATTCACCATTTATCCAGTGTTTATTTAACAACAGAGCAGCGCTGGGAGGAAATTAAGACTTCCTCTTTATCTGTCAAAGAATTTAAAGGCTACGATGGGAGAAATGATTAAATGTGCTAGACCCTACTCGGCCAAAGGTTGTTTTTAAATTGTAAAATAAAACCCGACGGCGCTAACGGCCAATAATGTGTCTGAAAGCGGAGTAAAAATGAGTTGTGGAGAGAGAGAGGAGCCGTTATAGCATCTGAGACGAAGGAACAGAAATCTAAATCTCTCATGAGAGACCCCTTCAGGGCCAGCAGGAAAATCCAGAGACCTCAGGGGAGGCATTAGGTTTTAGAAAACGCTCCCCTCTCTGGAACTTCTCCTTCCTCACCCTGAACCTCTAAATAAATGGGATTTTTTTTCCTCTGCCATTGTTCCTAAATCACCACCAAATCTACAGGCTTTTGTTTTTACTTCAACCTCGGCCTGAACTTTTTATTTTCCAACCAGCTATACGCTTCTTCTCTTTCTCCTCAAGAAGAAACAAGTTTCCCCACATCAGCTCCTATTCCCATAAGCTACAGCCTCGATAGATAACTCTCTTTAGCTGGGGGCGTAGTCGTTTTCCTGCTGTCTTCTATGGTGTTTATGGATAAGATCTGCATGATAGAAATCTGATTTGACAGGGAGCCTTCAAATGTTTCCCCCATAGTCATAGTTCTGGGCTCCAGCTAATATTAAGTACAGTACTGAATATACTAAACACTTACATGTGTGTGTTAGCCATCCATGCACGGCTAACCTGATATACTTCATAGTTTTAGAGGCCAGAGATGGAGATAAGAGGCGGTGGGAGATGAAGAAACTGCTGGAATAATAATGAAAAATAGCTGGAACACTAACAGAACCGAGTTCAACCCGTTTCATTTATCGTTATTCCTCCTCCTGTGATTTAAAGAATAGTCAATTGTTTTTGTTCTGCTTTTGCTCCATTTTTGTTGATTTATTGCCATCGGTAAGGCACACATTACCGTAAAGATATCTAAGAGACAGAAGACTATAATTACTATCCAGCTTTGACTTAAAGCTCTGGATCAGGGTTTGTTTTCACTGAAGGATTAACTTAAAAAAAAGTTTCTGTGCAACTGGACTGAAACAAAACGAAGGAAAAAAAAGCCACGGCTGTCTGACTGTCAGCGCGAGACGGTACAGGTGATTACTGATGTATAAAGAAGCTTCGACGCACGTGGGGTCGGGGGATCAAAGGATAAAGAAAGAGATTAAAGCACAGCATGTAATATTACTGATAAAACAAAGTTAAAAGTAGCTTCAACTTTTACATTTAAAGGAAAAATCTTTTTACCTTACTTTTGCAAAAACTGATTTAACCCAAAAATATACATTTACTGTTGAAGTGGTGCAATAATATCAGTTCATTGGCAACACTGGAAAAAACTCAAAAGTCATTTTTTTTCTTAAAATAAGTGCATTTTTCCTTGAATTGAGGAGGTAAGTGTGAAACCTTGCCAATGGAACAAGACAATTTACATTTAAAATAAGAAAAAAAAACAATTGCAGTGTCTTATTTCAAGTGCATATTATCTAATTATCTTATTCTAAGAGTAAATATCCTCATTCCATTGACAAATCATCTCATTTTTCTACTCAAATTAAGGGTAAATACACTTAATTTAAGACATGTTGACTTATCTCTAGATCGTTTTTGCAGTGTAAATTGTTCCTTAATTTGACTAGAAATTCTCAGCAGCCACACTGCAAAAACAATCTAGAAACAAGTAAAACATTCTTAAATTAAGGGTTTTTACCCTTGATTTGAGTAGATATATAATGATTTGACAAAATGAGTATTTTCAACCTTAAAATAAGATAATATGCAATTCAAATAAGACAATGCAATCATTGTTTTTTTTTATTTTAAATGTAAATTGTCTTGTTCGGCTGCCATGCACGTGGGCATTGTCAGTTTCACTATAGCTCTGGGGAAATTCAATGGTGAAGTCCTCTGGAAATCTTCAATAATTGTTGTTGATTGCAGATGTGTCTAGTTGTTCCCATTGATTTTGCTTGTAAATGGGGAGAATGGCGCTAGGCTTACCGCACCGTGACGTCACTGCTGGAAGATGGCAGGAGGGAGGGGTTTCTATATTTGGGCAAAAATGGCCGCTCTCAGACTCAGTGGTTGTGACGGAAATTATTTTTACTTTTTATTTTTTTTTACCAATTAACGCTAAATTCATTTAGGTACAGATAATGATCCATTGATTTTTCCTTCCTGACCGGACTTTACCTTTAAATGAATTCCCATAATGACACGAGAGATTGACTGACAAAGTTATTTTAAGTTACCGTAATTTTCGGACTATAAGCCGCACCTGAATATAAGCCGCAGAAGCTAAATTGCATGATTTGTACATATACAAGCCACACCGGACTATAAGCTGCAGGTTTTTTATGTTTAATTACCATATGGTTCGTGCACAGAGAGGATTGTCGGGAAAGAGGCAACTGTTTGGGGAAGCGCCTATTTATTAACATTTCAACACATTTGAATTGAGACAATTCTTCCTGCTGGCGTCTCCAACACCTCACCATTGACTCGTTGATTCCAAGGTTACGTGCAGCTGTTCTATTTCCTTCGTTTACTGCCAAATCGACTGCCTTTAACTTAAAAGCTGCATCATACGCATTTCAACGTTTGTTTTCCATTATGAGGGTGTCACACAAACTGTCTTGTGCTCGCAATGTCCGTCTTTCTCGGAGTCTGCTTCCGGTGGACGTCCACATTCCTGCGCGCACGGCTACTTGTGTGTTGAAGCAAATGTGACATCAGCATGGTGGATGGTAAAATCCATAGATTTAGGCACCGTATTACCCTAGTGGCCGTTAGCTGTAAAAGTCCATAGATAGGCCGCATTGTTATATAAGCCGCAAGGTTGAAAAATTGTCGAAAAATGGGGAAAAAGTCACGGAAATTACGGTAATCCCAGTCCTGATTATCTTTATCAGTCTAACTAATCTGTGACGTGCTCCAATTTTTGAAGCTGATGTTATTTTCATAACAAATATTTCATGACTCTCAGCTTAAACAAAAAAAAAAAAAAAAATATTAACAAATCAAACCTAAAAGCAAAACAAATGCTCTGTTGTATTTACCAAGGTTATTTTTGTCTGATAATAAAGCTAATTGGATGATTCTAATGAGAAAAAAACAAAACATTACTTTTTTTTCTTAATTTCTTCTCCCTCTTTGCTTGAAGATCTCTCACTAATATTGCAGCGGAACAAAAGAAACATCAAAATCACAAACGAGTTTAGAAAAACAAAGCTGCTCCAAGCCTCCATGTCTGCGCCTGAACCGTGGTCTGAAATTCAGATTTTGATCAGAGACCACGGATATTTACATTCCCCGTTCCCAAATCCAATTTCCAAAGCAGCGTTAAACAATCATCCAGCTACGGCTCAACGCATGTGGCCTCTTGCGTAATGCAGCTGATCCGACTTTATAAAATGCTTTCTGTACAAAAAACAGGAAGAATCCCACAGAAATGTACATCTGTTGGTTTGTTTTTTTATTTTATTAGCCCAAATGCGCTGTAACAGGTTTTAATTGAATACGTATAAACAGGAGAATCATGGGTCGGTATCGGAACGGACGACTTTGCTGGAAAATTGCGTTACTGGGCCGCGTTCTGGAGAAAGGAGGAGTTTCCGTTTCCAACACATTTCAGAGGATCGATCGAGACTTTGGGTTTTTACCTTTGTTTCCACGGTCATCGCCCCAGGAGTTCTCCACCCGCCATTTTTCAAAACCTTTCTCATCCTGAGAGGGAGACAGAAGAGAGGGGGAGATGAGAGTGAGAAGGGGAGAGAGTGACCGGACAGCTGGGGTTGCTTACAACGGAGGAAACTGACAGAATTATGAAAAAAAAAAATAAAACTGCTGCAGATTAGAGCAGAGTAAACAAACAGTAAAACCTCGGGAAATTCTCAATGTGTGTGTATCCCTTGTGGTTAGTCTGTGCTGCACGTACGAGTTTGTCACATTCCTGGAGCGTAGGATTGTGGGAGTGTACCTTGTCCGTAACAGCAGTGAGGATCATGGCGTGCGTCATGAGGGAGTCGCCGTATATCAGCCTCTCTGCCTTTGAAAGGTTCTTTACAGACACTCCAAACACCAGCTCATGGTTGAACCTGCAGAGGAACCAGGAGAGTTTACGGTCCAAACTCACGGGTGGCTTCCTCACAGCACTAATATCATCTTGTCATATGATCATCTTCAAAGTAATCCTTCAACCTATTCTTCTAGGATTAAGGGAGAAGACGAAAGCACAAGTCTGAGATCTGAGATTAGCTAAGCTCATCTCCGTTTCTCCAAATCTGGAGCATGAATGAGGAAACTAAGCTACGTTAGGCACCAAGTCCAGACACTAAAGCTGATCTACCTGAAAGATGAACTTCAGCAGAGATCAGAGCAGCTGTTCAGGCACCACGCAGGTTTAGTTTGAGGGGGGGGGGGGGATTTAAGCCTGGCGCCAGCAACTCAGACAGATGAGCCGCGTTTCCTCCGAGGAGGGATTGACAGCTTATACCGAGTCTTGCAAAACTATTTTCTTTTCAGTTTAAAACCACAAACCTGAATATATTTCGTTTGGATTTGAAGCACCAGTCTAGAACTGTTTATTGAACATTTTACAGCCATGATAGGAACACTGCAAACAATAAAATAGAAGCTCATTTTTCTTAAAATAAACCTGTTTCACCTAACTTGAAACTGAAATCTAGATAACTCATTTTTTTGTTAAAATAAGTGCATTTGTTCTTAGATTGGGGAGGTAAAAGAGACACTTTGCCAATAGAACAAGACAATTTACATTTAAAATGAGAAAATACAATTGCATTGTTTTATTTAAGTGCATATTATCTAATTATCTAATTATAAGACTAAAAATACTCATTCCATTGGCAAACCTTCTCATTAGCCTACTCAAATTAAGGGAAAAACACTTAAGTTAAGACATTTTTACTTATTTCTAGATCGTTTTCCAGTGTCATAAGCTGATTTATCAACCAAATTATTATTATTTAAACTGCATAATATCTTATTTTATGGTCCTGATCAATTTAAGGGTAAATACACCTATTTTAAGGAACGTATTCTCAGTTTAGTCTTAGATTTAACTCTTTTTCTCTGCACGGCTAAATCTGACCTAAAGATTAGTATTAATTTCTTATTATGCATATTTGTCTTCTTAAGTTTTGCAGATAAATAACATGATCTGCACTTAAAATAGGATATTTGTATGTTATGCAATTAAAATAATATTTTTGAATATGAATAATCTGAAATTATTGGGAAATTGTCTTACCTACCTGCTCAAAAAAGGGAAAATACACCTATTTGACTTTCTTGTATTTAGGTTTTTTTGAGGGTTAGTTCATAGTTAACAAAATAAACAAATGGTGGAAAAACTTTTTCTTGTAAGAGACTAAAAACTGCATATTCACCCTAAAGCTCATCAAACGTGACGGGGAGGAAGGGAAATCAGTACAGTGAGCTACAGTGTAGGGCTGCAACTAACGATTATTTTAAAAATCGATGAATCGGCCGATTATTTTTTCGATTAATCGATGAATCGGACAAAAAATATTTTTTATATTAACCTCTTTATTCCAAAATAAACATTTTAGACAGAACAAACAAGCACACAAGTACAGGTTGCTCATTAACTGTACTGGTGCAATATGAAAAATAAATGTTTGTCTTAAAACTACTCAAACTTACATGAGAAATGTAGCTGTACATCCACAAAATATAGGGTACTTTGTTTCATAAAGCGCAAAAAAAGACATTTTTGTTTTTAAAATAAATAATAGGCCCCCCCATTTCAACAAATGAGGTTTTTTTAGACTAGAAGAGTTCTGCCTTTTAAGACAGGAAAGTATAGCAGTTAAAGTTGCTACTTGAGAAAATACTGAACCATAGAGATAAAAATAGCCCTGTGATTCAAATTATAAATAGTATTTGGAATAGGGCTGGGCGATAATTCAATAACGATATATATCGATCGATAGACATGTGGCGCAATAGAAAAAAAGAGGGTCGATAAAAGTTCGATAAAAAAGAAACGCAGTTTTCCTTCCTTCTCATTGTAGCCTAGCATGTAGGTTTATGCTAGTCACTGCTTCCTCCCAACCAATCACAATTGCGGACCCAGGCACGCCGTCACCAAGCGCCGCCCTCTTAAACCACAACACAGAGCACATGAAGATGTCGCAGCAAGGAGAGGCGGAGGAAATTGTTCCAAAGAAGGGTTTTTGTAGTTCGGCAGTCTGGCAGTATTTCGGTCATGGCAAGTCGGACAAAAAACAAACCACAGTCATCTGGAAAATGTGTCGGGAACCAGTGAAACCAGTCTGATAACACAACCAACTTTTTTTTTTTTTTTTTATCATCTCCGCCGCTCACAGCGGCAGGAGTACGAGCTGTGTAGGCCTCAGCGCGGCTCTCCTCCGAGGAATCTTCGGGAATTTCGGGAAAATATATATATATTTTCAGTTCTGGGCAGTTTCCCACGTAGTTTTAACAATTGAGAGAAAAATGCTGAGGGGCCAGAAACTTCAAACTAATAACTCAGATTAAAGCAGGAAATGGGGGCGACGGTAGGGGGGCATTTATTTATTTGTTATATTTATTTTGGTCACTTTTCTGGTCACTTTAGTTTATTCTTTGTCAGTATTTAATAACAACTCAGGTCTCTTAAGTTATTTTTCTTTAAAACAATTCTGTTATGTACGGAAGAGGATTAGGGCCACTGGAAAAAAAAAAAAAAAGTAAACTGATTTTTAAATTTTATTTCAGTTTAACATGGGAAAAAAGTCAGAATTCTGAGATTAAAGTCAGAATTCTGACTTTAATCTCAGAATTCTGACTTTTTTTTATTGTCAGAATTCAGTCAGAATTCTGAGAAAAAAGTCAGAATTCTGAGAAAAAAGTCAGAATTCTGAGAAAAAGGTCAGAATTCTGACTTTTTTCCCCATACTATACTGAAATAAAAAAAAAAAAATCAGTTAACTTTTTTTTTTTTTCCAGCGGCCCTAATCCTCTTCCGTAGTTATGATTAAAAAAGTTGGTTAAATAAAGATTTAATTCGAAGTCTGTGTTTGTGTTTTTTATAAAAATTGAATCATTTAGCAATATTATAAAAAGTCCAGGCAGAGCTGCACATAAAATATGGTTTCAAATCTTTTCAATAATTATCGATATCGATCGATATGCATTTTTTTTTTATCGATAAGCTTTTTTTCTATATCGCCCAGCCCTAATTTGGAATAAAAATGAGAGAACTAGGGGTGCTAAAAAACACATCCTCCAAAGACAGATATTTACAAGGGAATGTGGCATATAATTAATTGACATATTACTGATCTTGCTGGATTTTATTCTGCTTTACTTCCATAAACTGCAGGAACTTTTTACTTTATCTTTGCCAGAAGATTTAAACTTTAAAAGCCTTGCCCTCATAATTTGCAAGTTAATTTCTTTATAAAGAAAATATAAACGCTGCTTAAGCTAATTCAAATGAAATTAAAAGGAAAATAAGTAGCCAACCTTATCACTGTCTGTAACCTACTAACACGGTAAGGAAAGCATCAGATGAGCTACCTGAGAAACTAACGTTACGTTTCCCCACTTTAAAACCAAACAAACATGGCCGCTCACCCTGCTGATCAGCTCTCTTCACTGCCATCGAAGGCTCCAGCATGTTTTCTTTTCAGGTGCTGCATCATAACAGTGGTGCTTCTGTGCCATGTTCATTTGTTTTTACAAAAGTTGAATGTTACGACTTTTTTCGCTTTACAAAGCGCAGGCTGTCTGCGAATTGAGACGCAGCTTGCGTTTGTGGTATCGGTCAATAGAGAGCGTTTCAATCAAGTGGCAGTGATGACGACGGCGGCGGATGACGCATTAATCGTGTGACACAACTAATCGATGATGAAATTCGTTGCCAACGCTTTTGAATGTCGATTTTTATCGATTTTATCAATTCGTTGTTGCAGCCCTAATACAGTGAGAGTCAAGATAGAACACAGAAGAAATGAAAACTGATGACTGAGGTCAAACACATCGAGCTTCAGCTCCATTTTATAAAGAATAGGGGAAGTAAAAACAGAATAAACAAAATAAAAAGCAAAAATTTGCCATTTTTATTTGTAAAGAAAATCTAAATCAAAAATGGACTTTTATTTAAATCTAAGATTTTTTGCTGCTGTAAACACTGGGGTTTCCCCATTGTGGGACAATAAAGGGATTTTCTATTCTATTCTACTTTAATGAGAGCCATCCTTTAATTCTACTTACACATTCATATCATTAATGCCCAGTTTGCTGTGGAAATGTTTTCCGACGTCACACCCGAACCACACGGCCTGAGAAAAGTAGGAAGACAGAAAAAAACATTTTATTTTTTACATTTCCAAACATTGAAGCTTTTTCATATCGGCCCGTCCCCACGCACCTCTCCATCCTTAATGGAGTCTGCAGCGGCCTTCTTAAGCAGCTGGATGGGTTGGTTGTTGTACAGGGTGCTGCGGCCTCCGACCATGTTCCCCAGGAACTCCACGCTGTACAGCTTCCCGTAAGGGTTCTGCGGTCGGGGGTCGTTTACGAGGCAGACCTGAGGATGAGGAGGAGACGCCTCAGTTTAGAGACTCAACAGCTTTAAAAGAATGTAGCTCAAGTTTTTGTGGTCTGTTTGATGTGGTGCGTACTTTGTCCTGAATGTTGTAAAGCGGTTTGACATGTTGCCTGTAGAACTCCTGGGGGCTGAGGGGTCCCAAGCGGTGGAAGTTCTTGTCCTTGTCCCGGTACTCCCAGCAGATGGTGTCTGGAGGGCTGCCTAGACAAACGCTGGCCACACGAAACACCTGCAGAGCGGTACAAACAGGAGCTCCCGTCACAAACTGTTCTAGACCCCAGGAAACGGTTACCTGACTGAGAATGTTGGAGCAGCAGCATGAAAATTCAGATTTCTTTGGCTTGTTTCACTTTATTCCTGAAGAAAAAAACTTAAACTCTATTTATTTTCGGCTGAGTACAGTGTTTGCACCTTTAGATGTCCTCCACCCCTCACACTCCCTCTCCTGTGTGTCTTCCTGCAGTGCAGAAGTTCAGACTGAGTTCCTGTGGGCTAAATCGAGCTGTTTGGACTGAGCCGCCTGTCAATCTGGCCCTTCCAACCTTGGATAAAGTTATCTCTGGAATTTCCCCTTTTTCTGGGCCTTTCCCTTCTCCGATAATCTGCTCAACCCTCTTAGAACTGAACATATGATTCTTTCGATGAAATAAAACAAAGAATGACGAAGGAAGAATAGATGAGGTGCAGAATGCTTCTTGTATTTGTTCGAGTTCCAACTCTTAAAAAGGTCATTCTTCCACAAACGGACGAAGAAGTTATGAGATTTAGCCCTGCTTTTCTGAAACACTTGTCTTTTTCGGCACGGCAAAGCGTGAAGTCTCAAACAAAACAGACAAAAACCAAAATACACAGACATAGTGAGTCAACAAAGGCCTCGGAGCGGCCTTCATCTCTGTTCCAAAGTGTTGTTTATACTGCCTTATGGGCCATATCGAAGCCAACATGTCCATCTTCCCGTCTGTCCCTTGACGTCCGCCTTCATTCCTCTCCGTCTTTCGTTACCAATATTTATTTTCTGGTAATGTTTGACCCTCAATAACTTAAAATCGATGTTTTCCCTCCACCACAGAACGCTACGTCATCATCAGCATTGCTAAAGCGTTCATACCCATAATTATACTTGCTGCAATTTATGGGGACTTTATGATAATAATAATATTTGAATAATAATAATGAACTTTATTGATCTCACACTGGAGAAATTTACCACTGCATTTAACCCATCCCGCTGAGGAAAAGTGAAATGCGGGTCTTGCTCAGAGAGTGCAGGCTACTGGGATCGAACCGGGTACTTGCAACCTTCTCAGCACAAGCGCACTGCTCTAACCACTAGACCAGAGGTCACGGATTAACGGGCCAGGGTTCAGATCCAGACCCAGCTTGATTTAAAACATTTATAAATTACTGCATGTTGTCCGACGTCAAGTGTCTAATTTCACTTGAGTCGCTTCTCCTGTTAATACGGTAAAGCCCTGGGGAGCGTCCGGCTCCAGGCTGCACGTGATCCAAATGAGCCAATGAGCTGTCAGTCTGGGTTGCTGCTGCTGCTACTTTTAGACACAGCAGGCAAACCTGTGGCAAGCCGGGCGATGGGAAAGAAGGAGAAGACGATGAGAAAGCAGAGAAAGTGTGGACTGCTGGAAGAACTGCGGTGAACAGGTGAAAGAAAAGTGAAATGGCGTGCTCAAAGATGACCCTGCACATTTAGAGGATGTTTGGCTCAACCTGCTGCTGTGAAGCAGGATTCTCCACCATGAACAGAATCAAAAATAAATCTGGATCCAGGCTCAGAATGAGCACCTTGATATGTGCTTGAGAATGGCTTAGTCTCCATTTAAACCCAGGTTTAAAGCCTTGCAGGGCAGCCTAAAGCCCACTGCCAACATTAAGACAGAAAAAAGAAAAAACAAACGGACAGTTCAGGTGGTTCATAAAATATGTAAATCATGAAATTGTCTATATACACCGAACTGAAAGATTGTTGTTCTCCACTTCAAAAACAATTTAGATTTTAAAATGGTAAAACGTTCCATTTTTTATATTTTCTATTTAAAAATTCAATGTATAACATGGATGCATCAAAAAACCTCATTTTATTTCAGCGTTAAATTCTAATTAAAGTAAGAGATTATGATTAAAAATAACTCCGGACCTTTACTGGTTGTTGATTTTCTTTATTTTTAATTAGCTACCCCTGCACTGGGCCATCACTCCCCACATAGTTTTATCTGGAAACAAAAACGCTTTGTGCATCCCTGTTTTTGCATTTGTGGTTTGTTTTATTTTTCTTTTTTATATGGTTTTAATCGTTTTAATTAATTAATTTTATCACATTTGTTTTATTCATTTATAGAATTTTACCTTGACCTGATATGTAAAGTCCTTTGTGGGAGCTGCTGTTGTTTTAAAAGCTTTATCAATAAAGTTGAGTGTGGAGCAGAAAGTTAAACAATTCTTCACAAAGAATTCTAGTTTACTTTAAGAGTTTTAATTGTTTGTACTCCTTTTTTTGTTGATTTTTAAATTTTATTTCAGTTTAATATGGGAAAAAAGTCAGAATTCTGACTTTTTTCTCAGAATTCTGACTTTAATCTCAGAATTCTGACAGATAACAAACATGTTAGCATCAAGCCATAGCCATGTCTGTTTTAGAGACTAGCTCTCTTGTTTTAATGACCTTCTGCTCCTCTATTAATGAGGGGACGCCTCGGGCACGTAAAAAGTTGCCTAATTCCGTCATTTTCCACCAATGTGTCACTGGCCACCTCAAACAACTCACATCTTTGTCAGTGAAGCTGAGTGCTCCCACATCTCTTCCTTCATGGTGCCCATCTACATTAAGATCCAAAATTCTGATTAAAAAAGTCAGAATTCTGAGATTAAACTCAGAATTCTGAGAATAAAGTCAGAATTCTGAGTTTAACTTCAGAATTCTGAGAAAAAAGTCAGAATTCTGAGATTAAAGTAAGAATTCTGATTAAAAAACGTCAGAATTCTGAGAAAAAAAAGTCAGAATTCTAAGAAAAAAAGTCAGAATTCTTAGAAAAAAGTCAGAATTCTTAGAAAAAAGTCAGAATTCCGAGATTAAGGTCAGAATTCTGAGAAAAAAGTCAGAATTCTAATTTTTTTCCTCCCATGTTAAACTGAAATAAAATTTAAAAATTCGTTAACCTTTTTTTTTTCAGTGGCCTTAATCCTCCTCCGTAACTTGGTCATCCACTAACAAGTCTACATAATATTTTGGCCTCTGAGCTTAACACCATCTTACCCTGACAAACCTCAGGAACTGGATCTGTGAGCACCGATCTTTGGCATTTTATTAAAGATTAGTTGTCACAGCATTCGAATTTAGGCTTCCTCCTGGGTCCGTCCTGTTTTTCTTGGTCTTAATTCTGCCTTTTGCTCATCCATGTTCTCTAATGAGCCTCAGATTCAGATTGATGTTAAACTAAATAAAGAGGAGCTATTTTTACTCTATTGGTATCCACTGATATTGGCTTTAAAACTAAATATCTGCCAATAAAATAACTGATATATGAGGCTGTGTTATTGTTTTGTGGAAAAGACGATTATACCTGTGCCAGCAGGTCGGACTCATCCAACCGAGACATGATCCCGTTACAGAAGAGATGCTGAAGTAAAATCGCACTTGGCTTTTAAAGGCATACTATGCAACATTTTTCAGTTAATTAATGTGTTCCATAACGTTTTGGATGATTAAATGAGTCATTTCAGGTCGAACAAAGGTTTTTGTCGGCCGCCCTGGTGGTCTGTTGGGGAAATTCCGTACCTGCAGTTGCAGGAGCCCTCGGCCCGCACCCACAGGCTCAGAAATCTCGTGCATCGCGAGAGTCGGTCTTGCTTTACGGCGAGAACTGCTACACGCCCCCAGTGAAAGGCATGCTCGTTGCTAGCGCAGTGGCGATATTTGTGCAGTTATCATGGCGGAACCAGCGAGAAAACAGCAAAAGCCCATGTTGGAGCAGGCAAGAAAGAGGAAAAGGGCTCTCTACCGCAGTAGACATGGTGATTCGTTGCGTTCGCCTGTCTGCTAAGCTCAAAACAACCGTGCCTGGCTTGACGGAGAAACCAGGAGAACAGCTGAGCATATTTATGACAGTGCACTTTTACTTTCGCCCTCCAGGGGGAGCCTCGCTGGAAAATCAACACCTGTTGCATAGTATACCTTTAAAGTTTCAGAAACAGGTATGAAAACTGCTATTGGCCGAACTACACAGGAAGAGAGGGAGAAAATCAATATATTGTCTTTAAGGAGGTCTGGGGAAAAAACATTATAGGACTAAAGACAAACACGAGCTACTTATTTAGGATTTTTATTGTAAGAATATAAATAAAGTAAGATTTTCATTTTACTTCTTGATAACAAACTACCTCGAGTACCTAGAGCACATTAAAGCACACTGTAGTGTCGATTAAGGGGTTGAGTGCTTTGGCATCAGCCTTGTGCCCACTCATCACACCTGGTCAGGTAAATAGAGGGGGTGTGAGTTTGAGGTCAGGCTGACAGAGAGAAACGGCAGAGAATAAAGAGCCGCGGTGACATGTGAGCAGGGCCGATGTTGGAACACCTGTCGCATCACTGAGTGACACAAAAATACAACAAGAGGAAGACGCAGAGGTGCTGATAACGCAACACAACAACTCGGTCCCGTTTTGTTTTCGGCATTAACAGAAACCCTTTTGTTTATTTTACATTATTTACGAAACAATGGAATCATAATCATCTGATATCAGACCATCGTTTTACACTTAGTCTGTGGGGATTAGTTATTTTGCAGCCCTTTGTTTTAAACCTCATCATCTTAACAAAAATCCACCCTGGGTCTGTCACAGCTAGTTTGCATGTCTAGCTGTAAACAATGACGGACTGACTGCACGCCACTGACGCCAACTGTGGCCAAAGGCTGATAAGATCTGTTTCCTGTGTTTACTGCTGGCTGACGCCCACCTTACATATTTAGATGCTGTGTGTGACCAAAACAAACAGGTCGTCTGAAGGTAAGAGTGAAACTTCTTATAAACAGCAGACCAACAATGAATGACACCATACAATCCCCCGCATACTTGCTGACACAGATAGAGCAATGGTGTAAAAACCCTGAAACCAAATGTGTCTTGCGGTACCATAATATTGAGAAAGACCAAACCTTTAACTTAGGTTCATATATTTTGACTTGGCAATAAAGAATAAGGAAATCCCATCTAAAT